TTCTTTCGGCATGGAGAGTGTTTTGCTTAAAGAATCTTTACTTTCTTGCTTGGGCAGAAAGTAAAGTCGGTTACGAGAAGAAAAACCGAACACTCTTTGCTTTTTAGTCAAGCGCTCTTTCAATGCAAGAACTGAGGAAAGAGAAGAGACAGAGCTTTCACTAGTACCCGAACCTGTGCCAGAGCCAGTACAACTTCATCAAAACGGGGTTTTCTCAAGTTTTAAAAATGTGTAAAACAAACAAAAAAAATTATTATTTTCGTTACTTCCTACTTCATAATTTTAGAAATTACTTCGAGCTACTTTTTACTTCTAATACTTCTATCATCCAAACGGACCCTAAAACGAAAAGGTATAACTTATTTATATAAGTGGAAACAAGTAAAACTAAATAAATATTCTAAGTAACAGATGAAATCACATGACAAATCCTAAATATCCTGACTAAATTTATCACAACTAAAACAATCAAATCATTAAAAATAAAATCCTAACAGATTTAACTAATCCTAAAATCATAGTTTGTCATGCATTAGATTGTTGCTTCAATAGTTGGTTGATTACTTTAGTCATAGTCATAGGTTAGTTGTCACGCATCTCCTAAGGAATCTAGTTTTAAAAAATGGTCTAGGCTCTCACCTACTTAGCGCACCACCGAGGTCTTTGGACCACCTAGGAGAGCATTGACCGTTATACAGACTGCAAAACTTAGGTCATTGTCTAATTTCCTTTGTTGCCACCTTCATGTCATTCTACCTCCCTGACCTCCTCCGCCTCCTCCTACCTTCAGCAAAATCTCCTCCACCTCCAATTAAACAAAAAAAGAAAACCACCTAGGCACTAGGCGCCAGCTCGACGCCTAGTGCTCATATTGGACTATTCTCTATTTAGTCTACTTATGCATGGTTGACTGTGAATTATGATTGTTATTTTTTTGTCGCAATTTCTTATGGATTTAATACATTTTTTTGTCAATTATTGTAATTAAAAAATAAAAACGAGGAAAATGCCTAGGCTCCACCTAGGTTATAGGCTTCGGATCTGGCATCTAGGATGTGTAACGCTTTCTATAACCTTGTCAAATGGTATGAGCAATGTTTTGGAAATTGAACATAGGACCAAATGAACTTAGGCCATTGTTCTTTGTAAGTCATCGTCTCTCAACTCTATTTCTTATTTTTGAACAAAGATCATAGTAAGCGTTACATGAAAAATGGCTTCACAAGGGATTGTTCAAATACTTACTTTACTCATGTACGTAGCAACCTCCATTGAGGATGTAAGAACCTTTGAATGTGGGAAACTTCAATGACCCTCCTCGAATTGTAGCTACCCTGATAAAGATCTCAATACGCTTCAATTTTATTTCTCTGTACAAGTTGAATTGAAAATCAATGATCAATAATAGATCGATACAGTATCTATGAGCAAGATTTATGAGCAAGATTTCTCTGAGAGCAATGGCAGATAAGTGACTCCAGCAAATATTCCTTCATCAGGTTGCTGCATGCTTTTCTTTGACATATGACCATAAAATGATTCACATGAATTTTTTGTTCAACTTCTAAAATCTCTTTCGCCCTTATTTACATTAAAGCATTGTGTTGTTAGATTAGGGAAGACAATCATTGGTAAAACGGGATATGACGAAGAAAATACATAGTATGGAAAATAGAATGACTAATAAGATAATTTGTGATAAAGACTTAGTTTGCTTGTTAATATAAAAAGGTTAGCATACAAGATTATTATATAATATTACCAAGTAATAAATGTTGATTGTGTTATTTTGAAGTGTTTAATGTATAAAGGTTACAATTGAAGATTTTTGGCTAAATCACGACTGAAGATTTACTGAAGTTTACACTAAAATATTTCTTTTGAGAAAATGGGAAAATATCATAACATCTGTAAGATGGGTTTAACAAAATTTCCAAAGTAAATCCCATTTTTCCCTTTTAAACTGAAATTTAAACCCGGGATTATAAAGAAAAGTTAATTTTTATTTAAAGCAGAGGTTTAAAACTATTATGCATGATTTCTTGGGTCTCCGATTTGTGTTCCTAAATATGAGAAGCCTCTTTCTTGAGAACAAGAAGTTGAACTATTTTGTTTGTTTAGGTTTCAATTTTGTTTGTAATTTAGATTACTTCCCTTACTACTTGCCGTAGCATTATAGTTTCCAATGTTTGCAATCTCTCATCTTAGCTCTCTATCAGTATTAGCAAGTTAAACTAATGTTTATCTGTGGTTGGCTGAGTTGCATTTTCCACTACATCATCAATATCATATTACCATTAATATTAATAAATGATTGGCTTTTAGTTAACCTTGTCTAGACAAGTGATCTTCTTGAATTTTTAACTCCATGCTGATGATTACTTTTCTAGACTTCCTTGCAAGTTTTCTTTGGAAGCTGACCTTTACTCCTATAATCACTAATTCCTCTTGTTGAATCTCCTCATTTCTATCTGATGGTACAGTGACAATCAGAAATGCCCATCGGTTGCTCTGATGTTTCAAGTGGGGGAGAATGCCACCTATCACAATGTAAGTTTTCTTTTGCACCTTTTATGTACATGGGCAGGTTTCATGTACAAGGAGATTGAGTCATCCCTGCATCCTCTCTCGCTACGTGACCGTTTTGGAAATCATTGTTTCTTTTATAGTGATCACAGAATTGCGACTTTTCCTTCTTTCTATTTGTATTTCGTACTGATCTCACATATAAAGCTCTATATTTTATATCTAGTTTAGTTCCTATTATTTTCTTTCAATAAGCATTCATTGAAAATGAAGTCTTTTTTGATAGATGGGTGGGTGTAAAGACTTGCCTGGAACATGCACCAGTAAAAGTTGCCGTGGTCATGAAGTGGATATTATGCACTTTTCGATTGGAAGTGCAATACCAGGACGGCTATATGGTGCTAATCTTTTAGACAACGGAGATGGGAATGGTGGTGATAGGTATAGTTTATTATTTCCTGAATTATATTATCTTCCTTCTGAAATATGAATTTTTAACTAAATATCCTTTTACTGATAGATTTGGTCATCTGGTTGATGTTTATTCATGGAACCCACATTGTCGGTACCTTGATGGAAAGGGTCCTTCAGGTATTTTTCATCTTCAAATTGCTACTGGATGTACAAAAGTCCATCAATAATGAAAATTTTTTCTTGCACTTTCTCTTATTCATATGTTGCTCAAATAGCTGCCTCTAAGTTCGCACCTTCTCTTTAAAGAACCAAAATTTATAATCTGTTGAATATTTAGTTCCTCAAAGTTAGGAGTTAGTTTCCTATTTTTGTAAATATTATGAAATCAGGAAATCCGTAGGAACTGGATTTCCTAATTAGTATTTATTCTGTTTTTATTGTTGCTGATTTATAGGAGGTAGTTTCTATATTTAGTTGAGCAGAAGCTGTATATAAATAGTGTACTTATTTCTGATTAAAATAAGAAGATTATTTCTCCTTCAAAATCTTCATGGTATCAGAGCTGGGAAACTCTGAAAAACCCTAGCCGTCCTTCTTTCCGGCAATCTCAGTTTTTTTTCCTCCTCTTATGGCAAAAACTGGAATGGCGAATGAAACAGCCAATTCCATCTCTGAAACCTCTTCTCTTTCCAACCCAAATCCGATCCATTATAGTTCTGGAAATTCTGGAACATCTGAAAACCTCTCTGTCCTCATCACAAATCATAAACTCAATGGACAAAACTACCTTCAGTGGTCTCAATCAGTCCGGATGTTCATCTGTGGCAAAGGAAAAGAAGATTACTTGTTTGGAGAAGTCCCAATTCCTGAGAAAACAGATCCAAACTACAAGAAGTGAGGAAAAGAAGATTACTTGTTTGGAGAAGTCCCAATTCCTGAGAAAACAGATCCAAACTACAAGAAGTGGAAGGCCGAGAATCATCAGATCATGGCATGGCTCATCAATTCAATGAATGTGGATATTGATGAAAATTTTCTTCTATATGAAACGGCTCAAGAAATATGGGAGGCAGTGAAAGAAACCTACTCCAGTTCTGAAAATACGTCAGAACTATTCGCGGTGGAGACAGTTCTTCATGATCTTCGTCAAGGAGAATTAACGGTAACTCAATACTTTAATGTACTAACTCGTCATTGGCAGCAGTTAGATATGTTTGAGTTTTATGAGTGGAAATGTCCGGAGGACAATGCATTATATCGTAAGATAGTAGAGCAGAAAAGAATATTTAAATTTCTGTTGGGTCTGAATAAAAGTTTAGATGATGTTAGAGGAAGAATAATGGGAACAAAACCTCTTCCAAGCCTTCGGGAGACGTTTTCAGAAGTTCGTCGAGAAGAAAGTAGGAAGAGGGTAATGTTGGGTAACCCGCCACCGCCTCCAAACACAGATGGATCTGTTTTTGCTGCTCGTAAATCACGGCCTCCAGCTCCCATAGACAATCGCCAGCCAAGGAAAGGGCGTCCTTGGTGTGACCACTGCTCTAAACCCGGTCATACGAAGGAGACATGTTGGAAGTTACATGGCAAACCAGCGGATTGAAAACCAAACAGACCAGCCCAAGATAGCCATGCAAACTCATCCAATGTTACTGAGGAACAGCAATGCACAATCAAGTCCAGCCCCTTCACCAAGGAACAACTAGACATGCTACAAACGCTGCTGAACAACACCCTAACACAGCACGCTACTGCTGCACCAGCCACTAGTTTACATGCAAAGTCAGGTAAATTACACTCAAAACAGTGGATTATTGACTCAGGAGCATCAGATCATATGACAGGAGATAGGATGCTGTTATGTGACTATCAACCGTGTCACTCTAATCTCACGGTGAAGATTGCTGATGGCACTTTGTCTAAAGTAGCCGTGACTGGATCAATTCAAATATCACCTGCAATCATTCTCAAATCTGTGCTTTATGTTCCTAATTTTGATTGCACTCTGATTTCCATCAGCAAATTGACTCGTGATAGCCATTGCTTAACCATTTTTCCCCTAATGTCTGTGTTTTTCAAGAGTTGGGTTCGAAGCGGAAGATTGGCAGTGCTGAGATGTGTTCTGGACTATACCTCTTCAAGCCTCCCAAACCTGGACAGGCCTTAGTTGCTACTATAAGTCTATCTACTAGTCAGTTTGTTATGAGTCAATTTAATTCTAGTTCTAGTGTCAATAAAGATAGTGAGATCATGATGTGGCACTATCGATTAGGACATCCTAATTTCTTGTACCTTGGGAAGTTATTTCCTCATTTGTTCATCAATAAAAATCCAAAATTTTTCAATTGTGAGATATGCCAATTTGCAAAACATACTCGATCTGTCTATCCGGGGGTTTCCTACCAACCATCAAAACCCTTTTCCCTTGTTCATAGTGATATTTGAGGACCTTCAAAAATTAAAAACATTAATGGAGCACAGTGGTTTGTGACTTTTGTTGATGATCATACAAGACTTACGTGGGTATTCCTTATGAAGGAAAAATCTGAGGTTGCAAGAATATTCCAAGCATTCAATTCAATGGTTCAAACTCAATTTGGTACCAAAATCCAAATCCTAAAGTCTGATAATGCTAGGGAATATTACTACTATGTCCTGGGAGAATACTTGTCTAAACAAGGGATAGTCCAAGTGAGTTCATGTGTCAATACCCCACAACAAAATGGGGTAGCGGAGAGGAAAAATAGGCATTTATTGGAAGTGGCACGCTCGATTATGTTTTCCACCACCGTACCAAACTACCTATGGGGGGAAGCTATTCTTACTTCGGCATATCTCATAAACAGATTACCATCTAGAGTCCTTCAGTTTAAAACACCTCGTCAAGTCCTTATCAATCTATTCCCCCATGCCCGGTTCCTGTCATCCAATCTGCCCCTAAAGGTATTTAGATGCTCGGCATTTGTCCATGTCTATCCACAAAATAGAAGCAAACTTGATCCACGGTCTACAAAGTGTGTTTTCACTGGTTACTCCACAAATAAAAAGGGGTACAAATGTTTCTGTCCTACTACTCGAAGGGTGTTTGAAACCATGGATGTCACATTTTTTGAGAACAATCCTTATTTTTCCAAGACTGAAATTCAGGGGGAGACTACAACAGAATTTCAACCTTGGAGTTGGGATTCCCTACTTGTCAAGGATTCCCTACTTGTCCCAAGTCTCCAGCCACCACCAAACTCTGAATCTATTCCAAGTCAATCCATTCTTGACCATCATTCTTTGTGTCCAGCTAGTGAGTCGGCTCCTACATCTGATCTGCCATTTTCACCCATGCCTCAGCCTCAATCAGCAACTAAGGAATTACAGGTTTATTCAAGAAAGCGGAGGCAAACTCAGGGGGAGGTTGAACCCATAGCACATCTCACACCTGTTCAAGATTCTGAAGCGGATCCAACAACTGTAGAAACTCATACAGGAGGGAAGAATGGTCAAGAGCAAGAGGAGATTCAAACAGGAGAAGATTTAGAGCTGCCTATTGCCCTCAGGAAAGGTACTCGAACATGCACTCAACATCCGATTAAAGATTTTCTCTCCTATGCAAAACTGTCATGGACTTACCGAGCATTCCTCTCAAGATTGGATGAAGTCCGAATTCCATCTAATATCCAAGAGGCCCTTAATCATGAAGGTTGGAAACATGCAGTTCAAGAGGAGATTAGTGCATTGGAAAGAAATGGTACATGGATTATTACTGACCTTCCACCAGGAAAGAAACCAGTAAGCTGCAAATGGGTATTCACGGTGAAGCACAAGGCAGATGGAAGCATTGAGAGGCTTAAGGCACGGCTGGTTGCTAGGGGTTTCACACAATCCTATGGAATTGACTATCAAGAGACGTTTGCTCCGGTTGCGAAGCTTAATACTATCCGGATACTTCTATCCTTGGCTGCAAATTTAGACTGGTCACTTCATCAACTGGACATCAAGAATGCATTCTTAAATGAGAATCTTGAAGAAGAAGTCTACATGGAGATTCCATCTGGAATTCAGACAAGTTATAACAGTACAAAGGTGTGTAAATTGTTGAAGTCTCTATATGGGCTAAAGCAATCTCCTAGAGCATGGTTTGGCCGGTTCTCAAAGTCAGTAAAAGGACACGGTTTTACCCAGTGTCAAGCTGATCACACGTTTGTGAAACGTTCCTCAGTGAACAAGCTGGCCATTCTTATTGTCTATGTGGACGATATCATTCTAACTGGGAATGATGTGGAAGAAATAGCAAGGATCAAACATGCATTGGCTGAAGAATTTGAAGTCAAAGATCTTGGTCCTCTTCGGTACTTTCTAGGAATGGAAGTGGCTCGGTCAAAGGAAGGTATATTTGTTTCACAATGCAAATAACTAAAAGAAACTGGTATGCTTGGCTGTAGGCCAGCAAGTACTCCAATGGACTCAAAGAAAAAGCTCGGACGTGAAGGAGTTCCTGTAGATAAAGGGAGATACCAACGTCTGGTAGGGAAACTCATTTACCTTTCCCATACCCGGCTAGACATTGGCTTTGCAGTAAGCACAGTTAGTCAATTCATGAACAATCCGATGGAAGAACACATGGAGGCAGTGCACCAAATCCTCAGGTACCTAAAGAGGACTCCTGGAAAGGGTTTACTTTTTAAGAAAACTGACTATCGAGATGTAATCCTATACTCGGATGCAGACTGGGCAGGAAGTCAAATAGATAGCAGATCAACTACAGGTTATTGCTCCTTTGTATGGGGAAACCTTGTGACATGGCGAAGTAAAAAGCAGTCTGTTGTCTCCAAGAGTAGTGCTGAATCAGAGCTAAGGGCACTTGCAGTTACAATTTGTGAAGGGATATGGATCAGGCGAGTAATGGCAGAACTGGGTATGGATTTTGGAGAGATTGTGAAGCTCAAATGTGATAACCAAGCAGCCATCAGTATTGCAAAGGATCCAGTCCATCATGATCGAACTAAGCATGTTACGATTGATAGACATTTCATTGCAGAGAAGATAGAAAATTCTGAAATGCAAGTAATATACACTCCAACTCGGGAGCAGTGTGCAGATATCCTCACGAAGGCCCTTCAAGGACCTAACTTTGAGAGATTGTGTAGCAAGTTGGGCATGTACAACATGTACAACCCAACTTGAGGGGGAGTGTTGAATATTTAGTTCCTCAAAGTTAGGAGTTAGTTTCCTATTTTTGTAAATATTATGAAATCAGGAAATCCGTAGGAACTGGATTTCCTAATTAGTATTTATTCTGTTTTTATTGTTGCTGATTTATAGGAGGTAGTTTCTATATTTAGTTGAGCAGAAGCTGTATATAAATAGTGTACTTATTTCTGATTAAAATAAGAAGATTATTTCTCCTTCAAAATCTTCAAAATCTTTTCAAAGTGATTTTTATATTCTCCAACTTCCCAAAAATGCTGAAATCTGAGTTGCTTCAGAAATATTAGTTTGAGGATGGAGGGAATCTTAGACTGCATATGCAGAGAGGGTGTCTCTCTGTAGAGAAAGTTGTTGGAATGCCCCCTCCTATGATTTTCTCTTTTCTGTGTGTTGTTCAATTTGTTCATCCATCACTTCCAATTAGGATAATGAATAGTCCCATTTTCATTTATTTTTTCTGTCAACAGGTAGAATAGTTGAAAATTGTCCAGATCCATGAGGCTTTAGAGCCTGTGGCAAATGCAAATCCAGCTGCACTATGCCTGTACTAGTCATAAATTTGTCTGTACGCTCAAAAATAGCAGAATGATAGGATTCTATAAGTCACATGGGATGTGTTTCTTTAATCGTGTGCATAGATACTTGTATTTCTTTTTTTTAATCTTTTGCTAACTGTTCTTTTCTTTTTCTATGTTTCTTTAGGAAATAGTTCAAGTGCTCAAAATGATTGGCAAGGAGCTTGGTGGCACAGTTCACTTGACTTCCATTCAGGTAAGATACTTGTTAGAGCTCCATACTTTTTTTCTGGTTCTTTCATTAATAACATGAGCACAAGTTTTTAAATATCCACAAATGGGTGCTTTATGCAATTTTAGTATACATGCAAACAGATTAGAAAAATATTTGAAACACAGATATGGTTGAGTGAATATTCGAGGGACGTAGTGTGTTTCTCGGTTTACCATGGTGCCTGGAGCTTCAGGTCTTTTTGGAAAAAGACTCATTCTTTTGGTTTTTTGGAGGTGATATGCAAAGGGTCACGCACACAAGACATGAAACAAGGGGTTAATTGCGGATCGACCCTTGTACAATAGCCCAATAGCAGGTAGGCCCCATGTAGTTCTATTGATGCGAATAGATTCCCTGAGTGAACTTTTTTCACTCTTCTATCCACAATTAACCCCAAAAGAAAGGGGCAAAAAAGAAAGGAAGAAAAGAAGAAAAAGAGAATCCTAGCCACCATCATATACACAAAATAGAAGGAAAAACACCTCACATGGTTGAGAGCACAATCCACATCTACATATATAAACTTTCTTATTTACCTTATATATGCTCATTTCATGTGCATGCCTTTGTATTTGTATTATATGCATAGAGTTTGTTGATATTCCTTTCATCAATGAATTAAAGTCAGAAACTATCTGGATTTGTCTTTCAATTTGAGATTACTGGTTGCTCTGTTTATTATAGATCTGTTCTGGTTTAATTCATTAGCTATATTTAAGCTTCAGGTTATGTTGAAGAAGACAGTCCATTTACGAAAAGTGGTCAGAAGGGCACATATTATTTTGAGTTCTCCAGACCCTTAAGGACGATGGATCGTTTTCAACAGGCAAGTTTCTTATTTACACGCCTTTAAACCAAAATTTTGTTAGAGACTAATTCGATCTTTAATCTCTCTACTTTCAAATTGACTGATTTGTAATTTTGCTAATTTCTTTGAGTGACCCCAAAAATAATCTTACCTGAACCTGTCCCCATGCCAGAACTCGACGTAGTTCTGATTGTGATTATCTCTCACTATATTAGAATTGTGTGTTTATCTTTAACTTTGTAAATATGACCTGTAATGCATACAATATTTTGCTTCAGTTATCATGTAACTAGGAATAACATATACTTATCAGTATTAATTTCCGATTAGCTTGTAACTATGACCATTGTTCCTAAATCCTAATAACCTGATTACATGTTTATTTGTGATCATGCTCGAATCTGGTAACACTTATTGAATTCTTTGAAACAAGTTAATGATCAGTACTTCAAACGAATGCAGGACGTTCAATTTGTAATAGGGCAGTTGAGTAAGGTGGGTGTTGCTTTCTGGTACCCACTTGATGGGAAACCATGGAGTGGATCACAACACTATTCAGCTAACTGTGATTGGATGCCTCTTGATATTGCATCACCTTCTGGAGGTTCTTCTTACAGTGTGGGATCAAAAAGCTCGTGGGATGCTGCAACTGCCTTTGCCTTGTTACTGTCGGTGGTTGCTTTTTGCGTATCAGTTTTTGTAGGATACTGGGTTTCCAGGACCAACTCGGTTCCTTTCACGCCTATGGACAGGCTTTAATACATCACTACAGTAGCAAAGTTGTATCTTTACGTTGTATTATATTTTGTGAGTAATTGATGTTCCGAGATGGATATTATTTCATTTGATTTTTTACGGAGTTGCAACTTCCGTCACACAACGATATGTATGTTGCTAATTATTATTTACAGCTCCGAGTGGAATCTAATGTTGTCTTGCATTCTTGTGAATGCGCATGTTGTTTGCTAATGCAGCAGCTGCTGACTTTAATTATATTGTTCAGGAGAAACTTCGATTGCGTTGTTGCACATCTTAGCAAATTACAATTTCCACCTCTTATGTTGTGGACGAGAAATTTCTCGAGTTTAACCGAGAAATACCTGTACTTATTGCACTTTACCTATCTTGTATTTGTATTCGATGCATCCTTGAAAGTATAGTGTCATTATTTTGAGTCATGCATCTGGATTGTCTTCGGAAAGCAAGGCATCATATGTGAGGATCACGCTTCCCTGTTGATCCTCCTGGTTGTGCTCCTGGCCATTTACAAACCTGTGAAAACAGAAGAAAGAAGAGTGCAAGATAGAATTGAGAGAGAAATGAGAGAGGATGAGAGTTGAGCTTGTGTTTGAGAAGAAGAAATCAGAACTATTCTTCCTCTATGATCTCTTACAACTCTCTATTTATACAACTCATCTCAGGTCCTGAATGAGTGCGTGCAAATCTGTGCACGTGCACCAACAGAGCAAACAGAAAACACTAATATGTTGTAACAGTATCTACACATTTATTACAGCCCTTCATAGTTTGAATATTTGCATAATAGCCCTTTCATTCGTATATCAGTCTTGCACATCAGTTCACCTCTTCGAAGCTTCTTCTTCCCCCAGCACCTATGGTCTCCTCCAGCTTCGGCTCCGCAACAGGGTTCCAGTCTTTAATGTACATGACGGGTTTGTAGATTGATCTCCAGAACCTGACAATTCCCTCCTCCTTGAATTGGACCTTGCCTCAAGGTCAAATGTGAGAAATCTCTTGACAAGATCCCAATAGGATTCCCAAGTAGAATCCAAAGATGACCGTTGTTTCCATTTGATTAAAACTTGGGATATTAATTTATTCCCTTGAACCACTGATCGCCTGTCTAAGATCTTCTTTGGTTCATCAACCAATTCTGTAGTATGTTTGTGGAAAAATTTGTAATGATGAAAGAACTGTATCTGATTTTATTCTCTCTAACTGCTTAGAAAAAAGAATGATTACAACTCTCTCAACTCTCGATTACAATTTGAATTCCTGATTACAAAAGAGAAGAGGATTGATCTGAATCCTCCTCTTTATTTAAATCTGGGTTCTTCACGGTAGCGATAAGATGTCTCCCTCGAATGCTCGCGTCGAGTTTGCTTCTCGTTGACGATCCGACATCTTGTTTCACTGGAACATGATCTTTTCCTCACGATTTGACGTTGTGGAGAACTCTGAATGAGTTTGAAACTATATGAAATAGTTGATTTAACCGAAATCGGTCTATAAGCCAAGGATGAAGAAAGCTCCTGTTGCCGAATATTGCTGAGGGATGACGTCAATCTCCTCAAAAGCCTGCCCAAGGATCTCTTCTGTTGCTGCCAAGAAGTTCCAACAGACCGAACCTCTGAACTGAATTGATTTTCAGTTATTTATAGGGGAATAAGGGGTGTAACCACCTCCTTAATTCGCTCCTAAGTGGGGCTAATGGGATGTAACCGCCCCTTAAATCACTCCTGAGTGGAGTTGTGATCCTCTCAGATCGTGGGAAATGGTTTTGAAACTGTTCAGCTCGTGTTTGAACGAGTCAAACGCAAAATCTGTATTCTGTGATTTGAGCTGCGTTCAGCGGTTGAAGCTGCGTTCAGCTGTTGATTTGAGCTGCGTTCGTGGCTATGAACATGGTGCGTCTTGATGCTGGTTCGTGGGGAGGACTTCCACGTCTTGGTTTGAAGAGACCATTGATTTGTAGTCTCTTTCTGTCGAAGCGTTGCAAAGATCGTCATTTTGTAATCTTTACTTTAGCTCTTTGATATGCAAGAGTCGTCAGATTGTAACTCTCGATGTTGATGGTGAAGGCTGTTAAACTAGAGCTCTCATCGGTTGTCGTGAAGGTCGTCAGATTGTAACCTTCAGCGATCTACGTGAAAGTCTTCAAATTGTAGCCTTCTGGAAGTCGTCAGATTGTAACTTCCATCATCGGTGTTTTGATGGGGATCAGCTATCTATTGTGATTTTTAGACAGCCTACAGAACCCCCTCCAAAGTTTTCGAAAGTTCGCGGTTGACTGGGACGAATTTTCGGAATACTTTGGATCTCAACTCTGATCTTGGAGCTGTTGATTCCTTGTGGTAAAGGATTTGTTCTCTGCACTTGCTTCGAAGGCATCTTGGTTGAAGAGATTTGCCACGTAGGACCTGTGTGAAGGTATGCGCCATAATCCTGCTTCTGGAATGTGGGGGTGGACCTTGCATTTTGAACTTGAAATGCGGGTCTCACCCTTGCATGTTGAATTTGGACCACGGGTGTGACCTCGACATTCGGTTTTTGCATCGCGGGTCTGACCTCAATGTTTTGACTTAAGACATGGAAGTGGCTTCCGTGCATTTTTGACTAAGTCTTTGAGACTTATCTTTGGCTCATCTGTTTTAAGTCTCGGCTCATATCCATTAAGCTGATGGGCCTGCAAACATGCATAGGATTTTTGGCAAACCCTCAGCCATCAACGGATTTGATAAGCCTTTACCGACTACCGTTTGAGTCGGGCTAGCATGTGGATTGTCTAAGTCCGTTCCACATGTAACGTTGTGCTAAGAGAATGAACCCTCTTAGACTTGATGCTATAATTTTGAATACATAGACTTTGTCATTTTCACGGGAAAAGACTAACCGGCAATGCGTGTTAGGCGTAGGCTTATCTCTAATTAGGGATCGAGATAAAGTCCCCCATGCGTGTGAGGCATGGATTTTGATGTCCTTTTCACAGTAAAAGACTAACCGGCAACGCGTGTTAGGTGTAGACTTATCTCTAATTAGGGATCGAAATAAAATCCCCCATGCGTGTAAGGCATGGATTTCGGTGTTATTAATAACAACCTGCCACGATGTTGAATATGTGGACTTTGTCGTTATTTCTTCCTGTGTTGCTTGAAACACTGAAAGAAAGTTAGAAACGCCAGAGGTGTAATATTAACTTGGCATGAATTTTCACTTAGAGTGAAATTCAGAAATTTTCTTTATTATCACTAGGATAATTCCAGAAAATAATTAATCCGCTGGGGATTTTATAATGACAACTTGCTATTCTTGTTGAAAAAGGATTAACAAGTTCATTGGGGGGGGGGACTGTTAGAGGTGTGATGTTAACCTAACAGTATTTTATGGACCTATCGCTCTATTGAGGAGAGTCGATAAGTGGATTTTTGTCAGAGGTGTAGTGTTAACGTGACAGGATGTGTGTTGCGATTGGAGCAACTTTATGGACTTATCATCCTATTGACGAGGATTGATAAATGGGTTTTGTCAGAGGTGTGATATTAACATGACAGACGAGAGTCGATAAGTAGAAAGTATTGCGATCGGAGCAACTTTGAGGACCTATCGCTCTGTTGACGAGAGTCGATAAGTGGAAAGTGTTGCGATCAGAGCAACTTTGAGGACCTATCACTCTATTGACGAGAGTCGATAAGTTGATTTTGTCAGAGGTGTTTGATATTAACGTAACAAGAGAATGTTACGATTGGAGCAACTTTATGGACTTATCATCCTATTAAAAAGGATTGATAAGTGGATTGTCAGAGGTTTGGTGTTAACATGACAGGAATTTATTGCGATCGGAGCAACTTTGAGGACTTATCATCCTATTGAAGAAGATTGATAAGTTGATTTTGTCAGAGGTGTGATATTAACATGATAAGATTGTGTTGCGATGGGAGCAACATTTTGTCAGAGGTGTGATATTAACATGATAAGATTGTGTTGCGATGGGAGCAACTTTGTGGACTTATCATCCTATTGACGAGGATTGATAAGTGGGTTTTGTCAGAGGTTTAGTATTAACGTGACAGGATTTGTGTTGCGACTGGAGCAACTTTGTGGACTTATCATCCTATTGAAGAGGATTAATAAGTTGATTTTGTCAGAGGTGTGATATTAACATGACAAGATTGTGTTGCGATGGGAGCAACTTTGTGGACTTATCATCCTATTGACGAGGATTGATAAGTGGGTTTTGTCAGAGGTTTAGTATTAACATGACAGGATTTGTGTTGCGACTGGAGCAACTTTGTGGACTTATCATCCTATTGAAGAGAATTGATAAGTTGATTTGTCAGAGGTTTAGTGTTAACGTGACAGGAATTTGTGTTGCGATTGAAGCAACTTTGTGAATTTATCATCCTATTGAAAAGGATTGATAAGTGAATTTTGTCAGAGGTTTAGTATTAACGTGACAGGATTTGTGTTGCGACTGGAGCAACTTTGTGGACTATCATCCTATTGAAGAGAATTGATAAGTTGATTTGTCAGAGATTTAGTGTTAACGTGACAGGAATTTGTGTTACGATTGGAGCAACTTTGTGAACTTATCATCCTATTGAAAAGGATTGATAAGTGAATTTTGTTAGAGGTTTAGTGTTAACGTGACAGGAGTTTTATACTTGTGATTTGAACAAGATTTTGGGGACTAGCGTCTCGCTGGGGAGAATTGCTAAATGAGTTTATCATCAGAAGCGATGAATTTTGATACTAAGATTTTGAAGACTTAGTGTCTTGCTGGGGAAGATTGCGATTTGAGCAATTTTGAGGACCTATCATCCTATCGAAGAGGATTGATAAGTTGATTGTCAGAGGTATATTGTTAACGTGACAAATTGGGAGTGATGCCAGCTGCATTCATACTCTGTAGGGGTGATGATTGTCAGAAGTATAATGTTAGCTCGACGATGTGAAAGATTCGTTACTCTTAATCTAGTGGATTCTAAGTAACCAACCCCCAGTCTTGATTAAGACTTAGCAGGGGAATAAAAAGAGGTAGACAAGGTACATCACCTAGTGGGGCACTATCCACGAAGTCGGAATAAAGACACATCACCTGGTAGGCCATTATCTGATGAGTTTGACTATCAGAGGTAACTATTAACGTGATAGTTTTGTGGGCCTGCCATCCTATTGAAGAGGATTAGCAAGTTGATGGACTATCAGAGGTAAATGT